AATATTGACACAATGCCCACGTTAACCGCTGTCACAACCACAACAACGATGGTAATTCGGGTGGCAATGTTGTAGGGACCGGGGGAGACTACATGTACGAAGTACGACCCGCTGTCAATTTAACACCAGACCGTCCAGACGGATCAGTAGCAAGTAAGTAGGAGCAAGATAACAGTATGTCCTTCCTTCCTTCTACATTCATTATATGGATTCAGTTTCTGGACGAGAATGAACCGATATTGTCACAAGACAACAACACCAAAGAACAATTGCCAACCAACCAACGTCCCAATTCCCAATTCCCAATGCCCAATACCGTCCCAATGTCCCACCAAGTCCAATCTGGTTTGATTCGCCCGCATCAGATCATCATCCCCCCTCCTCCTCGAAACCTATCAGTACATAGTACACACCAAGACCGGACCAAGCCGTGCGGGCAAACAGGCTAGGGCACATTTACGTTGTACAACAGTTAGTTCAAACTGGCTCTTCTTGGGATGAGGGCTGGGGACGGACTGAGAGGTTTAGTTGGTGGGGGGCTCATCCGTGTAGCGGGGGGAGGGTTATTTAGGGGGGTGTTGTGCTGTGACCACAAACAAAAAGCGGTCGAGTCGTAGTCGCGGCTCCCATGAACTCCCATGCCTCAATTTCCGGGATCATGCTGACGCGATGGCCCATGCCCATGCTGGCGTTTGTTCTCGCCCGTGTCTTAGGTCTAGCTTCTTCCACCGGCTGCTCGTCATCGCTGCCCGCAGCAGGATGCCCGGGGCCCAACAGTCTCCTGAAGCGCAGTACAGTATTCTGCTCCATTATGCTATACGCACGAATATCTGACGGCCAAAAATGCTAGTTGAAACTACTTGAAAAGGTTGAACCTTGAAATTTGTACTCCGTACTACGTAGTGTCATAACATGATATGACATGATGTGTTACTTGTGTCATGAATGTCATGAGGTGTTCTGTATAGTATGTATACCTTCATTATGCATGTTATGTAACTGTGACTGTAACGTAACGTTTTGCCATGTATTGTGAATTGTGTACTACTCTCGACAACCAAACCATACCCCCGCCCCCACCCATATCATCCCACGGCTTGTATTACTGGTTGTTACTTTGGGCAAACGTGTCCGGCCCCGGTCCTGTACCATGCAGCTGCCTTGTTCGGAGGCACGCGGCTCGCCTCGTCCCTCCTGCCCGACTGTGTCAGTTCCAAGACTGTCCGGTAATAAGTCTCGCACTGGCCGTGAACCACATGTATGTCATTGCCTCCCTCAGCTGCTGTGAACTCGTCGATGTTCAATATCACCACGAAGTAAAAGAAACCAATGTGGAAGTATCGCTTGTCGGCTGAAGATATCTTGAGCTCTTTGAGTAATCGCTGTTTGTCATCCCAATACGACCGAACCCAGCCACGGTTGCCGAGAAGCATGTAAAGCTCGAATTGGGTCGGTTTGATGCCCCGAGACACATTCAGATCGCTCAGCCGGAATGGAACTGCCTCACGACATTCAAACATGCGCCTCGTCCGTGCAATACGAATTTCGCCATTCTTGAGTGACAGTTCGGATTGCGGTTGAATCTGCCACTGGTACATGTTCTGGATGATATCGGTAGGGCTGGTGGTGTCAAACATCCTGAGAAGTGGGATCTCGGAGAACTCACTCGCCCTGACGCAAGCCTGGAAGCCGTGATCCTCTTTGTTGGACTGAACATACTGGCCTTTGTATACACGGATAGCTACGTCATGTGCTTGAAGGTCGTCTGCGGCCCCAAGTGGCCTTTTTTCTTTGAAGGTTTTGCGTCACCCACTCTGAAAAAAACAAGCTGTTCGTCTGGATCGGCGTGGCTCTGCACCAAACTGTCCAAGGAAATCTCACCCTGACCGTGGCTCATGTGAGTCGCACGCGAGGATGGCGCAGCCTCTGACAAGCCGCCAGCAGGCGACGCATCGTCGTCAGACTCGAAGCAGAGTGTGGAACCTGAGGGCAACTGCATGTACCGGCTGGCCTTCAGGTTCCCGACTCTGTCAGCCAAAGGAAGCCTATCAGCAACATCAGCCGCCGGCAGCATGCCGATTTGTCTGCTACGCTTGCCTGGTTGGCCCGACTTGCCTGGGACACTCACCCGAAGAGCAGAAGTCAGCGCTTGTTGCAGACTTTGGATCGGGATGCCTTGGACGGCTGGACGGCCAAAAATATGCAGTCTCAGTCTCACTCTCACTCTCCTCCGCTCGTCGTCACGCTTCGTTATTTTTTCCTCACTAACATAAACACGCGTGACCGTGACTGATCCACACAAATAACTACTAGTATTGAAGTATCAAGTGTCAGTCAAGCACAAAGTATACTGCACATACAACGCTTGCCAATACGTGCTAAGCCTCTTTTCAAGATGTCCAATGGCAGGCTGTAGAACACACCGCTTGCAGCACATGTGGACTGGAAATGCCGGAGCATCAAGGGCTGAATCCACCCAACGGGGTCCTTTGATTGGCTAAGTTTGACATCCTGGATCGCCTTGTGCTTGTGCGCCCTTAGCAACGCAGCTTCACTGGTTGATAAACCCTGCTCGGCCACGACCCCAGCTTGAAATTGAAGCATCCTTCTATAGACGAGCATTTTCTGATTCTTGTCAGAGAGCTTCTGCGTAGGAACCTCCATGGGTGTGTCATAGGACAATACCACCACATTGGGTGTCAGTGGTGGTTGGCAATTGGTGGTATTTGATTCGTTCAGTCTAGAGTCCACTCCCCCTCGGCCCTATCTAGTTCAGTCTAGAGTCCACTCCGGGCCCTATAAAAAAAATGATATGTATTGTATGATGGGACTGATTGGAGTGGAAAACACTTTCACATACAGAAGCACGCAACCGTGAGACAAATCAACCAATGTAAGTAACTGCGATGCGAGTTGCGCATAGGGCCCCTCCAACAAGGCGTGCCACGACCCGGCTGGAGCCCATCCCAGAATTGATCTCGTCAAACTGATCAGCTGCCCGCGCTAGGTCCTGACGATTCATCACTCAAGGCTGTCAAGGCTCGACAAGGGATGTAGGGACATGGGTGGTGGCCCCATGGTCCCATGGTGACGCATGTTCTTGAAAGGCCCTGAACTGAAAGGGGCCCACTTTTCCAAATGAATCCCTAGACCCGAGACTGAGACTGTGACTGTTTTGGGGGTTTGCTAAGCTACAATTGGTTACAATAATAAAACATGTGTTTTCCAGTTGTCCCGGTGTCCAGAGTGTCCAGGGGAAAACATCCAACAAAAGAAAGCCTGAAATACAAAACAGGTCCTAAAAACCGATAACCGATATTGCTTTTGTTTATCCTTGCCTTAGCCTTTTACCCGGCGGCCCTCACCTTAGGGATTAGGGACTCACCTGCCTGACCTGTATGATTTATCTGACTCTGGTGACTCTGGTCCAGGCCTTTCCTGAAAAACAAACACCCAGACCTCAGACCAAACCGCCACTAAGGGGGTAGCCCACAAGAGCCCCTGATCCTCTTTAATGACTTTAATGCAACTGTTTTGGATGTTCACTTTAATAGCAATAGCAAATCATAGCATTGCTTTGTTCTTGGGGATGAAGCAGATTATTGTTTGTATGGCCATGTGGGCCAAGTCGTTGGGCCCCCAAAATCCGTCAGGACCTTTAGGAAGAGCAAACGGGGCGGGTGGCATGCTCCAGGACGGCGTGCAGATTATGCCCGGCAACTGCGACAGGGAGACTCAGGCATTTGTGGGGTCCGGGATACTGGTTTGCCGTCTCCTGCAAATGTAAATTTTTAAATGGGAACCCAAACCCAAACGACCCACTTTCTTGGACTTCCTTCTGGGGGGGCCTCACCAACACCGGGTAGTTACATGCTGAGTGAGGGATCGGGAGGGAGTGTCGCATTGTTTCAAATTGCAGAGTGAGTGAGTGAGTCGATCCATTCAACTCTGTTAATGATTCATGATGATGAGTTTAGGTCTCCTTTGGCCCTTTGGCACTCCATGTATCCCCGTGTGAGAACCCATGAGAACCCACACCTCCCAGTGCCTCCCAGCTCTCACCCTCAACCCCCCAACCCCAACCCCATCTCCTCGGGATTTCGAAAGAGCCGTTCTATCATGTGGGCCCTAATCTCCGTCGAAATGTAGGCTTCGCTTGCACTGGGCGCCTTGTTCAAGACCTGCTTCACTCCGCGGTGTTGTCCCTGGCGGCAAAGTGTGACAAATCCCGGCATGGCATTACTTGACTTGTACCAAGCGTCAGTACCTGTTACAGTGTACTGAGTACTGTAATAGTAGTACAAGCTGGTGACAAGCTTTGCAACTGTTTGTGCAACTGACTTATGACTTGACTGTAACTACAGTAGAACGCACATCTAGAATCTAGAGTCTAGAGTCTAGAGGCGACCTGTTGGCTGAAAAGACGCAGGGGCACTCCACTCGGAACTTGATGTGTTTCGACTGTTTCGGGGTCAATGTTGGATGAGTTCAAGCCTAGGCACTAAGCAGTATCAAACGATGACTCCGGCTTCGGCCCATAGCTGGCCTCCGTCTCCCGCTCACAGCAGCGAAGCAGCACCAATGCTCCGACCCATTCACGAAGATTAGGAAGATGATCCCAGTCGCAGCCGTTCACGAAATCCTCCAGCTCTGACACCAAGGGCGGTCCGGGTCCAGGAAACTCCTGACGGCAGACGGCAGGACGGCCATCCGATCCCCGCAACTCACACCGTGTCCATACCCACCCGAACCCAGTCATCCCATCTTACACATGCAAACCGAAGACACAATAAGACACAACCATGCGACGCGATCAGTTACAAAATGGACACTAGCATTGTGACTAGCATTGCATAGCAATTCACAATCCATGCATGTTACAATCAACGCGTCGTCTGGTAGTGCATCGATCCGCGTTCAACAATAATACCGTGAATCGTAATCGGATCATCGGATCGATTGAATTAGCACGAATCGCCAAATGAGTGCTGCCAGGGCACTGGATCCAGAAACCGTCGAGTCATGAGGTGATGTCTGCCCAGCGCCGATGATGATGCGCCCTGGCCCGGAGATTCCTTCCAAAGCTTGATGCATTCGCAGCCACAACGGCGAGCAGCTTCCAGGTCACGGCAACCAAGCCCTGCCAATCTCCAGGGAAGGCACATCCAGAAGGACGTTTTGAGGTTGAGCTCTGTCAAGATGACGTCCGTCGCGCTCTGCCAATCGCCAACTAGCGTCGTGCGCTCGTCGTCCGTGAGCTCGCCCGTGAGGATCGTCTGCAGCTTCTCCCTCGAGATGTCAATCATGAGCTCCGCAAATCTGAGGAACTCGCCCTGCGCAAACTCTGCCGCTCGACGACCGCGAAAGGGGCAGTTGGGCAGCACGCCCTTGCCAAAGCTGAACACCTCGCTGGTCGCGGCCATCAGCCGGCCGGCCAGACGTCGCCGGCGTGTCCAGTACGACCCACTAAGATCGGCATCGTCATGGCACAAGCAACCCTCGCACCACTGCGACTTTAGCTCGAGGGCACCCGAAAGGATGACCAGAAATTTTGCATAAACCCAAAAAATGCGGCTGCAAATTGCCTTGTCGGCTGCGGCACCAACTGTTGGATCCCCAAATCTCTCCAGACTCCAGGCAGAGCGCAACGCTTGCTCCCGGCGGATCAACGGGCGGAGAACTCCTATCAATGACCCCCACCGCCAACTGATGAGCTGTCCTCCGTCCCACTCGTTCATCATCTTCCTCATATGCTCAAACCCAGAGCCCACCGCATAGCACCGCTCCTCGGATCGCTGCCACGACGCTGGGCCCATCTAGCCTACCGCCTACCCATCGAGTTTGTGTCATGATATCTGATATCTCTGAATCTCTGGACCGATTGCGACGCCGATGCCATAAACACAATGTCCCCCAGCCCAGGTCTCACACCCACACACACAGACACGTCACTTGGCATCAACTGATTGGTTGAGTTGAACGGCAAATGCTACAGCAACAGCAATCGATGTCAATGGTGGTAATTACGAGTAATGGCAATGGCAACGGAGCTGTTTAACCTCTTCCCCCTATATTAATAAATACGCCCCCCCCTTCCCCCCCGCCCCCCACCCTATTATAAATATATCCCAATGTTGTTAATTGGGGTTTTTGGGCCGCCGGCCCGGCCCGGTTGTTTTTTTGGCTTTTCCAACAATGTGAGGGTTCACGGTTCACATAGGATTTGGAGGAAATGGATTGAATTGTAAGGTCGCCGAGTAAGCGGTTTAATAAGGAATTTGCATGTACAATGTATAATGTCATCATGATATTTGTTTTTCAGTTTACTGGTTGTTCAGCCAGGCAGGTGAATTAGCCAGCATGTACGGGAGAGAGACAGTCGCAGCTAGACAGCTCTTGGGGCCTTGGGGCCTTGGGGACATGTTTTCTTTTGAGGGACACCACCCCAATAATACAAGCCCAATTGACCCAATTGAGCCAATTAAACAAATATTTTGATTTTGGGGTGCAGGGGCAGGGGCGCAGGGAATTATATAAATATTATTTAGGAATTCATGTTTTGGGGAACCTTTGAAAACCCACCTTTTTTTAAAGGTGGGGCTGGAAGCTTGTTCAAAGGGCCCCCAACAAGGATTCCATGACTTTAGTATTGGTTTAGTATTGGCGCAATGGAAACTGAATTGTGCGGAGTGGAAATCTGGTCTCGGGCCGGGCCCCGGATTTCCATTTTCTTTTATAAATGGTGGGGGTCATTCATTAGTAGGGGGAACGGATTAGGTGCACAACCGTGTCCCTCACTGCCAACCAATAAACTAGCACGCGAGCCGCGAGCCAGGTCACGACTAGGCGATCTCTGTAGGTCTTCAGGTAAAGGAGCGTAACGACAGGTTTGAGCATGGCCTGCGGGGTCAGGATGGAGCAGGCAAAATGACAGCTATGGCCCGGCTATGGCTATGATATTGTAACTTGCAACGAAATCTAAAATGGTAACTTGTCGCCATACAGAAGCGTTCGGGAATGCAGCCGTCTAACGGTTCCATCAACAACTCTAACCAACTCTGACTGACCCGTGTTCTGTCACACCCTTTCCCTTCGGTCCTCAAAATGAGAGCCCCACGCCAATGATGACAAGACTTCCGACTCGATGTTGTCGATGGTGTGTTTGACTCCAGGCACCATCAGCGCAGCTTGCAGCCCAAAGCAAGGATCTGTGTCCGGGTCTGGGTCATCAGATAGCCGCGCGGCCGTCGTGGCTGCATCAGAGTGGGCACCGCAGCTGGGGCTAGGCGCGTGTGTGACAAATGCAACATCATCGTCGTCGTCCGGCTTTGCCGTCTCTGACTCATCCTGAAACACGAGGTAGTTGGCCGCCGCCGTGGAATCAGCGTGTGTGTCAGCTAAAAGTCCCCGTGATGCAGCGATATTGCTCATGTACATCGCCCTCAAAGGCACATTCGGCACGTCTACCAGGTGTGCCTCGACCCCATAGTCGGCTGTAAATGAGATCACCGACGCTGCATAGTGAGCAGCATGCGCAAGATCTTCATTATGACAACAGTCCAACCGTGCGCAGTGCGCCAGCACCTCGAACTTGGCACTTGTGCCACAGGCACCGCTGCCAAGGACTCCCAGAGGAAGTGTAGACGTTATAATGTGATTTTGCAGCCCCCATTGACTTAACTGCTCCGGTGATGCACCCACAACTTCAGCTGCTCGGTTTCTCGGCACCCGGTCTTCTACAATCATCAGCAACTCCGTTCCAGCTTGCGGCGAAGCGTCGGCGCTGAGCAGAACGAATTGCCCCGAGTCTTCTCCACAGCGGCCTTTCCTGAAACAGCGTGCCCACTCTTGTTGTCGTAGCTTCATCAGAAGCATGTCTAGCTTGAGACGCGCTCGTGAAAGCTGAGTTGGATGAGGTGCTGCAAACCGCTTCTGTTCGATGTCATCCTTCAGCTTCCTTACCGGTTTACTGGTTCGAAGTTCGTAGTGAAGTTCATATCCTAGCTCATGGAATGAAACCGCACAGGTACAGGGGTCACCATTCAAACATGACATGACAAAACTAAAACTATAGACTATAGACTAGAGAAACTGATAAACACGGCCAAAGACCAACCCCGGGGGACCCCGTAACCGTATCACCCTATTGCTGGTTTAGTAACTACTGGTAGCAGTTAGTACCGGTGACTCGGTGACGGAAATGCAAAACAAACAAATATGTCGAGTCTATGACAGTGACAGTCTATTCATTAATTATTACTAACTTATTACTGGGCTACTATAGTGTAGAGTCTGCGCCGCTTCTGCCCCCATGATGAACGCCAGTGACCGCACGAGCACCTCGGGCAGGTCTTCCACATCCTTCAGCAGCCGCGCCAGAAGCAATGCCTCCATAAGGCGGGCCAGCGTAAAGCGGGGAGATCGCCTGGGCAAGCTGCTTGGGCACGAGCTAATTGATAAGCATCTGCATCTGGAATTCTGGAATTTAGAAAGTTGATTTCCCTGGGATGCCCCTTCGTGAAATCAGTGTGCCTGTGAGTTGACCAAACGCAACAAGCCATACCGTACTAAGTACTGAGACATAATGTGCACAGTGCACGTGCACTATAATGTTCTTTGCTGTGACATTGCTGTGTGCACTTTTCGCACCCGAGTTAATCCCGCAATGGGCCAGTTGGGCCCCGGTGATGGGTAAATGGGCGCAACAAGTACTTCACAGTGATTTGAGTTGTTAGTGTGTTTGTTGGATGGTTGGACGGTTGGAATCCCTTTGGTTTCATTTCCATCTATTATAAAATATACAGTCACATGAACATGTGTCACATGAGTCACATAATCCATCAGTCTAACAGTCTAACACAGATCTACATGACATTGACAATGGCAATGACTGACAGTTGCAGTTGCGTACCTGCAACAATTGTTATGGGAATTTGAATGGGGGCCGTTGCTTTTGTGGTCTGCCGGTGTGAGTCGTGTGTGACTGTGTGACAGGGGATCATTCCAAAAGCGCAACTCTGCAATCTGCTCTGCAAGTTTGATTTCAGCAAAAGGACGAGCATTGAGAGTCTCAAGAGCCCTAAACGACTAAACGAATTGATTCCCAAAATTTAAATAGGGGCCCAGTCTGTGCCGGCGGGTTTCCTGACAATACAAACACGTGACTCCACGTCATGTGTCATGTCGCCAATGGGTCATCATGGGCCTTTCAAACCTGGGTTTGGGGGCTTGCCACGACGCAGAGTCCCAATGGCCCAATGGAGTGACTGTGACCTTTCATGGTTGCTGTCGTCAGGCAGTCCTGACCAACAAACCAACCGGCCCAGGGCTAACCACTTATAAGGGGCAACAACTCGGTGTGGCCAGGGGTCTGTCAGGGGCCAGGGGCATGTATCTGTGCACAGTTAATGACCCATAGCATTCATAGCATAACAACGGCTGGCTGTGACACTGACAGTGACAGACGACAGATGTGATTTTGCAATTAACAATTTGCATTTAACAGGCGGCATCCCGCCTGCGCGCACCCCCCCCCGAGCCCGGATCCGGCTGCGCTTGCAGCTGGCATCCCGCCGCTTCGCCGGCCAGGCGGTCACCATCCTCCTCGTCCGAGTTGACTACCAGCACCACGTCCGCCGCTGCCAGCGACATCCTGCCATACGGCTCGTCCGGCTTGGGGTGATAGGCATGGAGTTAGGGCAGGGGCATATGAGTCTCGAGTATATGTGTATTGACAATAGAGGCTATGTCATGCGGTCACACTCAAGCGATACAACCGGGTCCCGGGTTGCCACTCTTCCAGGTGTCAAGTGTCAAGAATCAACAATTGTCATGTTGTCAAGAAGTCAAGACCGTCAAGTCAAGAACTTCAAGAACAGTATTTTTTGGGGGTCGCAATCGCCCAAACAACATTTGAGTGGAGTCGGTGGAGTCGGTGGAGTGGGAATCAGTGGCAGTGGGAGCGGGTGAGTGAGTGAGTGGGTTGGCGCGTGAGTGGGTGAGCGAACGAGTGAGTGTGAGTGAGTGATGTGAGTGTGTAGTGTAGAAGAGAAGAAGGGAAGTGTAATGTCAACAGACCGGGAATCCGACAACGAACCACTTCAATTCAAGCAGTATAATGTGGACTAAGACACTAAGACTAAGCCAAACCCCAGCCCCGCCGCCGCCGGTGATCATTTTCCATTGCGGCCGGACCCCGCCCCATCCGAGAGTCCAACTAAGTTGATGCCAGCCATAGCAGAGTCGCACAATTCAATCTAGGCCAGACTTAAGCCCCGCCCCCTGCTGCAGCCAATGCCGGTTTGATGCTGGTTGAAAGTTGGAATTGAAAAGCTAAAACGGCGAAAGGATAAGACGAGTCAAGTCTGGCCCTGAAGCGAAGTGGATTTTGTCACGCTGACGCTAATGAGACGGAAATGGGGTGGGCTGCCTGGGCCTGGACAGCTTTGCCGCGGACCTTGTCGAGAAGAAACGGGTTCCTCAGACTCAGACTCAGACCTCAGAGAGACTCAGAGTAGTCAGAGCCTCAGAGTCCTCAGAGTGGAGGGTTCCGCAAATCCGCAAAAGTGTTAAAGAGATTTAAGGGTTCCTCGAAACTGTGGCGCAAACTCGAACCCAACAATCCACAAGTATCAAAACGGTTTGGCATGTCGCAGAACTGATAGTCGAAGTTCCGAAACAATGCCTGCTGCAACTCCGGCAACACCGGTCCAACACACCAGTCGCTTGTTTTAATCACTTTGTCAAGATTCCATGGTGCCACCGCCGCAACGCCGCAATCCAGATT